ACTAATCATATGGGTGGCAAGGTTTTGGTGTTGGCCTTGGACCTGGTTTTAGAGTTGGCAGTTTGGGCAAAGCCAGTGAACCTCAGTCTGCAGCTCCTCACACCAGGACTCAAGAGACATCAGCTGTGACACACAGCATGCAGCAGGCAACTTCTCACATTGTCCCAAAGGCTGAGAGGAAGAAATAATACAGAGCCTTGGCTTTGCAAGCCACTGCTGCCTGAGCTTGCAGGAACCACCGTGCACCTGGGGACCTCCAGTGATACTCAGAATAAACACCAGCATGGCACGGTTTGCCACGTGAATGAACAGGATTTCAGTGCATGCTAATGAAAATAAGCATGGTGTTCCTGACCCTCTACACCCAGAAGCTGTCCAAAGCCAAAGTCTCATGGCAAGTCTTTGCTGAGCCACCTAGGTGGATAGAAGTTGTATGTGACTGTTTCCCATCTACACCCTATGGTGACCTGAAAACAAATGGTGAGAACATGTCAATTCTACTTTAACCAGTAGCACTGTGAAAAGAAATCAGTAACTACACTTGACTTCAAGAATCTTGGATGAAGAAGGGTACAAACACTGGTCATATTTTGAGGCAAAAGATCCTGCCTGTGTAGAGAAGGATTCTCAGGACTGTCTTTGAGCAAAATCTACTTATGGTAAGAGACATAGATTATTATCATTAATGTTACATACGTGATTTAATTAGGAAAAGCCACACAGTACATGAAAAGAAAATATTTCCAGCTAATAGTATTACTAATTACCTAAAAGATCATAAATCAAAACAAATTTAATAAGATGCAGGAGAAAAGGCTGACACAAAACTCATGAATTTCAGCAAAGAAATGTGAAATCCTGCATGCAGATCAGAACAATATTTGCGGTAACAAAGCTGGGGAAGCAGCTAAAAAGCAGCTTTGCAGGGAAGGCCTTGGGGACCCTGGTATTCAACAATCCGAACATGAGCCAGCAGTGCAGCCTTGCAGCAAAGATTCCTGGAGTGCATTAGGAAGAGCACTACTGGCAGGTTAATGGATGTGATCCTTCCTCTCTACTCAGGACTGGTGAGACACACCTGAACTGCTGGGTCAACATCTGAGCTCCACAGTATAGGAGAGACATGGACACACTGGAACAAGGACAGAGGAAGGCCATGGAGATGATAAAGTGACTGAAGCATCTAATCTTTGAGAGGCTGAGAGATTTGGGATTGTTTAGCAAGGAGAAGAGAAGGCCCAGGGATATGGGGCCTATACACATATTATCAATGTGTATAAATACCTGAATGGAGGAAGACAAGTAGAAAAGACAGAACCAGGCTTTTTTTCAGTGAGAGGACAAGAGGCACAAATCAAAGTACACCAAATTCCATGTAAACATAAGAAAAATCTTTTTTTTTTTTTTACTATGAATGTGGTCAAACACTGGAAGAGGCAGCCCAGAGATGCTATGGAGCCTTCATATTTACTCAAGACATGACTGGACACAGAACCAACCTGTTCTGCTTTGAGCAGGGAGGTTGGACTGTATGATCTCCAGAGGTACCTTCCAATCTCAGCAATTCTTTGATTTGCTAAATACATGTCCCATTCTAGTCCTGAATATATCTGTTATGCATGCCCAAGATACATTTGGATTTTTGACAGACTTCTCACCACATCAATGTGAAGGCATTGCCATTGTATATTAGGATGTGTAAAATCTTGTAAATATAACTGAGAAGATCAAGAGATTGAATCACATGTCATGTAGGATTCTGGGGGATGCTGGAAAACAAGCATTGCAGTAGAAGAGTAATTGTCAAATAATGACATGTCAAAGCTCAACTTTTACCAACTCTAAATCATTTAGTATATAACAGTGTAGTTCCCTTGACATGTTTCTTTTGGTCTTGGAAATAAGTGAATAACCCACTGTATCTTGTATATGCAATGCAGGGGGTAATTTGGACAAAATGATGTAATGTTTTTGAAAACATGACAAGAAAATTAAGGATGAAGAAACTCCAGAATGACTTTATGAATGAAAAGGACCTGAAATTGCTTTCCATCCCTTGACAGATGTTACTTAAACTGACATACTATATCATGCAACAAAGCTTACAGGGGAAATACAGGGTTATGAGAAAATGTATAAACCACTATCATTATTGTAAAAAATTATTTTATTCTACACAGAGAGATAAAAAGAGTAAGGATACTTTTTAGGAAGAACTTGATGTAGAGTATTGTACCAGTATTTTCAGGAATTAGCAAAATGAATCTGTTAAAAAAAATAGTAAATTTAAAATGAAGGGAGAACTTTCTGCTGTATCCCAATCCTACACGATCTTTCCCCCTTTTCTCCTGCCTTTGTACATCTGGAAGAATTGCCTGTTTTTTAAAGTAAAACCAAGAAGACTCTCTCCTGCCTTGTTCTGTAAAGAGAAGTAAAATAATCAGAAGGGGAGGAAACAGTTATTGTCAAGAAATGGTAGGTGAAGAAATGAACATACCTTGGCTATAAATATTCTCAGTTCACCTTAGAGGGAGATTTACAGCTTAGGACTGTTGCAGCAAGCACAAGCCTCCACCCTCACCGGTTTTGCTTCCAATTTTGACAGTTCCCTGCTTTTGATATGTGAAAAAAACAGAGGCACAGCACACAGCGGGTTAGGAGGATGCCTCAGTACCTCAGACCTTCTCCAAAGCAGCCTTTGGAGATCAGAATTTTAGGTGTCAGCCCCAATGAAAGAAGAAACCCTCAAGAAAGTAGGGTTTAGAATATGCTCTTACCAACCTGTGCGACAGAGCAAGTAGAGCACCATTTTGGACCAGGTGAAACTTCAAAAATTCGCAAAATCTCTTTTTAAAAGATTAATTTTATTCTGGGGTACAGACTATAGCTGTAATGAAGATGCAAACCCATAGTTAGTCACAGCCAAGTTCAAGTCTGGTATAATGTGTCTAAGTTTTTTGGTCCTCCATAGGTCCTTTATTTTTTTCTACCTGATTTTTGGCATTGCATTCAATATGAAAGCATCAAAGAAGAGTCACTGAATAACCTGAGTAGATAGATAGAGTGTAGCAGTAGACAGATGATAAAGATTTTTCCCCACAGTCAATACTGGTGTCCGGGACACATTTTTTACTAATTTGTTTTTAATGCATTGCTACCTTATAAAAAGGTTTATTATTGATTGATTTTTAATAGCATGGGTGTTCTCTTTTGCTAAAGACTTCTTCTTGCTTACTTTTGTTGTAAGGAACATGAGAAAATAAACAAGAAACAAAAAGGCATTTAAACAGAACACTTGGAAGTATTTAACAAAGAATCATAGAAACAAGTTAACTTTTCTTTCTGTTTATCAAATCATGTGAGGATTCAGGCCAAAAAAGCAATTGTTATTAATAATTTAATAAGTTAAATAAAGTTTCTCCCTTTTTGCCAGAAGTTTCAAGAAGCATTAACAGTGTTAAGGCACTCTCTTGCCATTCATACAGATTTGACACTGATATTCTAAAGCAGAAAAAAAATCATATTCATCAATGTTAAAATATCTCCAAACATTTCCAGACCTTTGTATTTAGAAAGCCGCCACTACTCCCATTTCAACTGCCATACTGAGCCTGCTTTGCAAAAGCTACCTCTTGATGTTTTGCAGAACAGCCTCTAATCGTCTAAGGAAGCTCTGGATTGAGATTAGTATCCACAGCAGAAAGGAATCTACAGACACTACTGTGTGCAAGTAAAGCTGTGGGCGTTCGTCCAAGCTCAGGAACGAGTGGAATGTACCCCTTCTCCAAGGTATGGGTGAAAAAACATCACTGAAGTGGAAGTGGGGTTTGGGTGGAACTGAAGCAAGAGAGAACTCATATATATGTTTTCCATGTTTATGAAAACGGCTGTCTACTTATTAAAAAAATATATTGTGAGCCAATATTTTAATTATTCACTGCATTCATTTGCTTCTGATGGCATAAATAATCTATCATCTTAGCGTGCCAAACAAAAAGTCAGAGGAACATTTCCACTTCAAGTCAAACAAAAAAAAAAAAAATAAACCAACGTAATGGAACTTTTCTGTGAACTCACATAATGAATTTCTTTGTTTAATTAAACACTTCAGCAAACCAAATACCTGAATTTAAATTGCTGTTTATTATGGCTTCCCCTCGGATACAGGTGAAAGACTGCATAGACATATGTTTTCCACGGTGACTGGCATTACCAAGCAACCTGATGGAGAGCTGACAACACCTTGGCAAGCAGGGAATAATAAGGTAAATTATCGGCAATATTAAGAGAACCCAGTTACGAGCCTCACCTTTACTTTGGCCTGCGACGTCTGGGGCTGTTACTTGGGGGGAAAAAAAGAGACAACAGCATCCCTTTTTACCTTCAGCTTTGCTCCTGTGTGTGTGGGTGGACGTGTGGGTTTATACGTGCATAATCGCACGCAGACTGGTGTTTAAACACGATTCGGTGTCCGAGGCTCCATGATGCGTTTCCCACCGTGCTGGGAAGGAGCGGGACAGGAGGGGGAGCTCTCGCCGCAGCCGCCGGGCGGGGATGCCGCTCCTCGGGCCGGGGGCGGCGGGGCCGCGACCCCTTCGCCCGCCCGCCGTCCCCACTTCCCGCCGGGCAGCACCGCGGCTCCGGGGATGATCCCGCTTGTCCCGATTTTGCCTCTGAAAACCGGCACGTTGTTTCCAGACTGCCCCCAGTTCGCTTGTTGCTGTTGCCTTCTAAAACCTTTCGCTTTGAAGCCGTCGTGCTGCTTACATATTTAGCAGCTGGAAAAATCAGGCCTGCTTGTTTATCTCATTCCCCCCAGCAGGAAAAAACAGAGAAGAAATAGCTCATTAATAATATTAAAGAGACTTATGCATTAATAAAGGCCAAAATAAAGTACTTGGAGCAAAGTGTTTCTTTTACCTAAAAAGCAGCTCTGGTATGTGGATAGGTCCCCTTTTAAAACATTTAAACATTAATAAATAGGACTATGAACAATAGAATATAAATTAAACCTGGGGTGATTTATTTTCAGCAACTCATTTGAGCATGTACTTTTATGAATTATACTTATTTTTCAGAAGTCCACATTACTGTGCTTGCAAATCCAAGTGCAAATTCAGAGCTGGAAGCAAATCTGTGATAAAACAAAAATAAGGAGCTTGGTAAAACATGGAGCCTTGTGTTTAGAGCATGTGCTTGAGCAATGGAAGTAAAAGCCCAGGTTCTTGCCATGACTTAGAGACCACCTAAAGGCAGAATCCCATAGTTTCATCTCAGTTTTAAAAGTGACCAAAAAACCAAGCAGCTTCAAGCCCTTGAACCATCATGACAGCAAGAGACTTTCTCTACTGCACTGTAGTTAGAGCACACTCTAATAGATTGATTTTAAATCGCCTTGGAAATTTCACAAGGAATTTGGTCTCATTAAATGCAGGAGTAAACTCTTCACTGATTCCCACACAATCAGGGTTTCATCTTTGGCTTCAAGCTGCTTACAGATACCACATACCCTTGTATCTCTGTTTCTTAAAATAAGTCTGAGCAGTTCTATTCATCCAATATGTCACCTTTATTCACCTGTATAAGGTGTTTGCAGAATCTATATCGAGAACTACAGAACCAGGATTCTTTACCAAAAATACAGGTTTTTATACAAAAAATATGTGGTGCTGCCAGAGTTCAGTAAATGTGTTTAATGTTAGAGTGCCTGTCATGTAAATAGCAGATTTATTTTCTCATAACTTTTTGGAGATGTTCAGATCAATGCCACTGTATGGCTGACAAATGTGTGGCTTCCATAGATTCTGATATTCTGCCTCCCCTTATGAATTCACGAGTTACCACTAAAACCTGAAAGTGTTCCTTTTTGTTAGTCATTCCCTCACGCTCAGTAACAAGTAGAATAATTAGATGGTTTCCAAAACTTATTTCAGTACCTCCGATGTATGTCAGATAACATCTGAGCACTCTAAATGCATGAACTTCTGTGTTGACAGTTGATGGTCCTCCATATGCTGCCACTAGAAGAACAACTTCCCAAGAATATGCAGTGTAATAATATGCAATATATAAAGGTAATAACAGCTCTAGAAAAGTAGGAATCGTGACAGTTGCAGAAATAACCTGCTGTCAGATGGAGATATTATTATTAGGGCACAGAGAGGTAGAACTTTTGTATCTGTCCTGGTCCTACATTAAATACTGAGAAAAACAGAGTATGTTTTAAGACTGTGGCTTTCATCTGGTGGTTGACAAGGTACTGGGGGACTGGAGGTTCTTTTTAAAGAGCTTACCAGAAGTAGCTGAGAAAATGAGCCTACTGTCAGGAGAAATAAGTTCATGTCTCCATTCAAAAGTATTCAGAAAAATACTGTGAAAAAACCCCAGCTGAATGCTTTTGGTGATCAAGAAGTGAGAATCAGCATTCAGAACTGGTAGCAAAAGGGGTGGGAAGTGCTTCAATTTGCAGCCAAACCTTCAGATGCTAGTCAGGAGAACTGGAATGACAGACTTGATCCTGAAGAAAATTCATTCTGGTCTACTCACTGTAACCTGCTGTAGTCACATCACCTAGGCTTGCAAATACCTTCTGCAAAGTATCTTCCAACATTAAAGGAAGTTCTGTTTATGCTGGGAGTTCGAGATTAATCTTTTTGTCAGATTGTCAACTCAAACTCGTTAAATTTATGCAGTGCTTAATGAAACAGTGTAGGGCTTTATTACAATACACATAGTAAGTGTTGAGAAGTAGTCCTCTGATGTTTCACTGAACAAGAACCATTTGAGGCAATACTCTAGCAAGAAATTTTAAGGTTTTCCTTAAAATTCTTCCATCCTCTCTAAAGAGAAACTAGCCATATGTCTAATGCAATAACTAGTTTTGTCTTTTTCATTAGAATGACTTAATGTATCAGCAAGGTGGTGGCTGCTCAAAGCAGAATAGTTGTCTGAGGTTGGCTGGCTTTTTCCAGCCAAAGGTTTCAAAGAGCTATGTGAGGCTGTGTTTCAAAGCAACTTCCCCTTGTGCTGTCTGTCTTGTTCTTATTGTGTGAAAGAATACACTGAGATTCTGGGAATATCTCCTGTACTTAATGAGAGCTCAACTGTACTGATTTGTTTGTAATAGAATATGGTAAGGAAAACATAGAGGTGAGGCTGCTGCTGGTGGTAGTGGTGGTGAGGCACAGGAGGAGGGAAACCTTGCTACTAAGCACCATCCTTTGAAGGTTACCTGTAGTCAAAAGTTTCCACAAGTTTGAGAAATCACTGTATTTTAAAATACTACAAGCAAGTAAAAAAAAAAACAACAAAACCTTGCTTTCTTCTCATGCTTGCTGCTTGGTGGGTTTGAGCCCAGACCTTGTGTTCTTGGGGTACGCAGAATGGACCGAGCCCACAGCACGAGCCCTGCTGCAGTTGAACTCCTGCAACTCTTTGCTGTCAGCAGAGCCTTCTCGAGGGTCTCTGCGAGGTCCCGCTGCTCTGCGAAAAACAAACGATCAGGGCTGGGTTGTTTCCAGTATCTGCCTGATTCTTTTAGGCAGCGAGGGGAGTGGCAGCACCTTCGCCTTGCAGCGGCCGTGACCTTACTACTGCGGATGTGCTCTAGGATATTACAGGCTCAGTCTGGTTGCTATCTCATCTTTTGATGCTCGATGCTCTAACTGCTGAGACTGTGCAAAATCCTCGTTTCTTCTTATTCTCAAAGTCACGGGGGAAAATGTGCCCCGTGACTCTAGAAATCGCTCTGACAGGCAGGCAGGCAAGGCTCATTTTATAACGAAACGAACAAAGTTGTGCTCAACTTTTCATGCTAAAAAGTGCCATTGACTTAAAGCTTCGGAAACAGAGAATGTAAATTAAACATTGTTGCACGCAAACTGAACTTGTCTTTGACAGGCTAAACAGAGATTCTTATGGAGAGCTTACTCATGCCCACACAGAACGCAGTTTAGCTTTCGACTGTGGGTTTGGGTGTTTTTATATAAAACAGTATCATTTTAAGGTGTACCGCAGTCGTAATGAGAAACCCCGTACGATTACAATTTTGACTATCGGAACAATGGACACCCCCGTGCCGTAATGTGTTGTATCGAGTAATCAGGGACTGCCAGGGAAAGCGGGAAAGCAGAGCCTAGGAATAATCAATGTATCGCCCACAGTGTGTGCTGTAATCCGGCACCTCCTCGCTGAAGCGCGTCCCACCAAACCATTCATCCGCACCTCCCCGCCGCAGATAAAGGGAAAACCAGGAGTGATCAGGGGAAGAGCCTCGGCTGAAAGCGGCGGGGACGGGACGGGACCGGACGGGACAGGAGCGGTCGGGACGGGACGAGTTGGCTGCGAGGGGGGCACAGGCCGAGTGGACCCCTCGGGCGTTCGTGGGGGGCACCGGACCCCCCTCCCCATCCCGGGCTGGGGGCGGGGGCGGGTGTGCACCGCCCCTCCTCTCCGCCGCGCTCCGCTCCGCCCGGTGCTCGGCGCCTCCCCCCTCCCCGGCTCCCATGGCGGGCAGCGGCGGCCGATTCGGTGCCGGCAAGCCCCGCCCGCCGGCGGTCCGGGGCCGGCCTCCCCCTTCCCTCCGCCGCCCCCTCCGCGGCAGCCCGCCAGCAGCGCCACAGCAGGCGCGGGGCCGGCTCGCTCCGCGCTGCCTCCCGCCCGCCCGCCCCGCCGCTCCCATGCGGGCCGGCGGCGAGGCAGAAGATGGCTGACTCGCCGGGGCACCCGCGCCCCTGCCCGCCCGCGCCCCCCGCCCGCCCGCCGCCGCCGCGCTCCCCCCGGGCCCTCCGCGGCGCCGCCTGCCACCACTGAGAGCCGCCGCCGCCGCCCCCCCGCGCCCCTCCCGGCCCCCCCAGAGCACCAGCAGCCATTTCATCTCCACCACCACCACCACCAAGTAGGCGCAAAAAATGGCAGAAATGGAGAAAGAAGGAAGACCTCCCGAAAATAAAAGGAGTAGGAAGCCGGCTCACCCGGTGAAGCGGGAGATCAACGAGGAGATGAAGGTAGGTGCTTGTGATGGGGACGGGACCGGGGTCCCCCCCCGCAACCCCCGCCTCCGAGCATGGAGATGAAATAAGAAAGGATCTCTTGTCATTTTTTTTTTTTTTGTAGGATGCACTGAATGTGTCTCAACTCCGCCTCCTGGGCTGCAAACAGAGACGAATTCACAGGCTGCAAATCCTGTTCATTGACCAGCTTATTTATTTTTTAAAAATAACTCTCTCGTTCGGCTTTTAAGCTCCTCGGGTGCCAATGATGAGCCTTTTTTTTTTCCCCCTCTTTCTTTCTATAGCCACCCCTCAGGTAGCTGCGAAGCCCTTAAAGTTAGGAAAGAAAGGGATCTGTTTTAAACACTGTATTTAAACACTGTATTTCTGTCCTTTTTCAGTAGCCAGCTGCAACTGTGTAATTAAATTGTCAAAGTGAAACGTTGCGGTCTGAGCCGCGCATCAGCCTGGCGCTTCAGCGCGAGACCCCTTTTCTCTCCTTGCCCCTTTCGCCTCCTCCCCTGCTGCACCGCTTCGCTCCGCGGCTCGCGGCAGCGCAGAGGTGTCGCTGGAAGGTGGCTTGTCCGAGGGCTGCTTTTGATGGAAGTGTATTTACGCGCGGAGAGCTGTCCTGCTTGATAGGAACCGGTGCCACTCCAGCTGTGCTCTGGCGGCCGCTCCAAATGTTGGATGGCTGCGGTGGCACAAACGCGCGATTTTGGAACTTCTTTTATCATTAGGTCGCTGTTCCAGGCTGGACCGGTCCTATTTTTTGCGCCTGTGCTCCATGTCTGTTCCCTGTCTGTTTGTTTGATGTCTCTAATTCCCCAAAGTTGGTAACAATGTATTGCTAGACTTCAGCTGAACTTGTTGTTGAATGCGCAGATAAAGTGACTAAAACAGCATAGTCTGGCTACAAGATAAAATTGCTGAGATTTAATTTGAATATGTCATTTATTAAAAGGCTGATTATAAGTGGAAGACTGCCTGGAAAATGTCACTCGTTCACATAGTATGTATACTGTATAGGCGAGTGTATAAATATGCATGATGCCTAGCGAAAATATCTTTGCTTTCTGGAATATTGATCTCCCCATATAAAATTAAACGGGAATGTGCCATCCCCTCCCCTCTCCCCTCTTTTGCACACCACTAATTTCGGTTAGGTGCCCCTGCCCAAGGCAGGCATTCTTGTTCTTGCTGCCTGTGTAATGAGCATGTACATGGTTCTGCGTGCACTTCAAGTGTAAATGTGGGCAAGAGTAGTATTAGGGGCACAAACAAAATAATGTGTCGGTGCATCTCTTTGGAAACAAACTGTAGTAGCTTCAAGTCCAGAGGAGCTCCCGCTTTCTTTGTGAGATATGTGACACATCCTATTTTCGGAGAGGGCTCTGTGCAGCCACCAGAGAGTCATTGCTCATTGTAATCCCACATAGTTTTGAGGACTGCAGAGGTCTGTAGTACAGGGCATTGGCCCCTCAGAGCATCGCCTAATGCGATCTATATGGATTGCAGCTTTTAAGTTTCATAGGTTCTAGAATTACAAATTAGCTAATTTTAATCAAAACATGTGAAATGTTATCCTGGCTGGATATAAAGGCTGACTGTGCTGGATCCTCTGGGTTTGTTTTGTTTACTTTGGCTGCAGGCACACTCAGCGGTTTGGGAGATAGTTGTTCTTCTACAGTATAACAGATGTTTGTCTGAAAGGGTGAGGAAGAAACAAAAACAACATTGTGTGAAGGAGAAAAATTACACAATTTTAAACTAATGCTTTGGTGTTAAGCGCTAGCATTAACCTTAATGTAGAGAGTTTCTCTTTTTTAATCATGGCTAACTGCTTAAGGTTAGGAACCCCGAGATTTCAGCTGACTTGAAAACTAAAGGTGTGTAGAAAGGACATTTTGAACCCGTGTAATTTCTGGTTGAGAGTGAGACAGCTGATGGCAGAACCTTCCACAGCCCACCTTTCAGCATAAACTATGTTATATGTGCTATGCATTTTTAGTAGGGCTGTTGGCTGCTATCATCTAAGAAGGGGAAAAAGAGGGAGGAGGAAGTAGTTTGAATTTTTGACTGGTTGAGAAAGTTAAAATCCTGTGGTGATCATTTACCCTTTTTCTTTACTGATGAACTAAGATGTCTAGTTGTTCTTAATAAACCCAGAGAATACAATAATGTAACAAATTGGTTACAGTGTGCAAAATGTTTGCAGTGAAATGACAGAGGGAGCACAATGTGCCCTTGTGTAGGTTTGTATCTGTAATGTTCAAACAGGCTGGCTGTTTCCCTTCATCTGAACTGCTTTCATCTGGACCAGTGTAAAATAAGCTCTGGTAAGTAATCACAGCAGAGCAGAAAGAAAGGAATGTATACAGCAATAGACAGCCTAAGCTGTAAAAACTGTAACCTGAGTATCAGCAGCAGATCAGATATCAAGGCTTTAAGGTAGGGGAAATGAAAGAGATGAAGGGGAGGAAAAGACGAGAGAGGGAATGGAAAAGTCAGCTTGGAAAGTAAAGGAGAAGTAGGAGGGCCCCCTCAGGGAAATTTGGCTCAGGGGTTAGGGAATTTTATCATGGTGTACAGTGACCTACTCAGGTTTCAGCCCACGTTGGATCAAATTGCATCCCTTTGCTAGCAGAAAGAAAAAGGACTGGTGTATATGTGATTTCTTCCCCCCCCCCCCCCCCCCCCCNCACTTTGGATAATAAAAAGGCCATTGGTACAAGTGTCTATTTTAAGTACAGTAAATCCAAGGCACTATGAATGAGCAATAATATTACCTCATCACAGAGACTTCCTTTGAGATTTGATGTTTGATACAGTCAGATATTTACTCGAGAAGGGTCACAACACCTAACTGCTTGCTTTAGTGTTTTCCAACAGTAGTGTCACAGCTTGGTTTTAACATGACTGGATGGATATTCATGTTGCTCGCTCTTTCCTTATGCCAGATATTGAGTTACGTTTTTGTTATCGCTAACCTAATGTACACGATGGTTATAACAAATTTTAATTTGATACAATGTTGTATGCAAAAAGTACATGACTCTGCACAGTTTTCTGATATTACGTTTCAATGAAAAATATATTCATGAGGAACTGTTTTGTTACACTGTGACCTTTACAGCCACTCTTTTGTATTTTCTAGTTGTTTTTTCTTTTGTCCTCCTTCGGATAAGACTTTCTTCCAGATAAGTTTTTCTTCCAGAGGTAGCATTCACCTCGTGCCTTGGAGGAAAATGGTTATTCTGAAATTCAGTTTGGTGCCATTTTCATTTGCTGGTGAATAACAGAACACCTCATAAATCCAAACCTTTTGTCATCAGGGAATCTACTACTGTTTTAAGACCAAAATATCTATAAAATTGATGAAAGCAGTTGTCTAGGCACAGTGGTGGATCCCCCATCCATCCCTCCTTGCCTTATTTCCAGCTGCCATCCTGCTGCCAGGAAGCAGTGCTGCTCAGGAGGAATAGCTAGGTGCTCTGCAATGCTGTGAGGTGAGATTACATCCAGTACTGAATTGCACTGGAAGTTCTCCCGTACAGATGAGGCAATGTATCCATGTGTCTCTAGCAGTTGGAAGGTAAGCAATTAATTTGTGTTGTAATTCCACAGGGCTGCTTCATGTGCCCAAGGAGTTTGCTGTCCATAAATATTCTCAATAACTAATTTGTATCTAAAACTGGGCTTTGTTCCTGGTGCCTAGAGCTTAGGGCAGCCCCATCTGTTATCATTGAATAGTAAACTCATCAGAATATCTTTCAGTTTAGTGTTTAAATAGTCCCTGTTTGGCATTTGAAAGTACTACTGTCAGAAGGGGGAAAGCAGTGAAGCAGGCGTAGCAGCCCTGTGCCTGGAGCAAGCCAGTTTGTTCAGAGCACTCGGAAGATTTCAAGGAAACTCCTCCCTTCTCTCTTGAAAAGCAAAAAAATATCTTTGGGAAAGTGGAAAAGCAGACAGACTTTATCAATTGCATTATTTCAGGAGACCAAGGTTTTTCTGTGGAGTATGCATGGAAGTTTTATGGGATGGCTGCAGAGCGGTTGCCTGTCTGCACAGGGAGCCTCACCTGGCAGGGCACTGCAGAAATAGTGCTTCCCCAAACAAATTGGGTTATACAGAGCCAAACATACATGAGAGGACAAAGGAAAGTAAAGCATAATGGAATTGTGCTTTCTGATAGTGTAAAGGTCTAATCACAGATTTCAGTATGGCATAAACAAGCAAAGAATGTGAGGCCTGGGAAAAAAGATCCAAGTTTGCATAGTGCCTGTAGAAACATTTTTATTTCCTTGATGCAG